CCTAGGGACAGGACACACACGCACACAAGTTACCAGAACACTGTGATCACAGTCTCATACTTGTTGACGCTCTCCAAGCACAAGGTCAATAATCAAGAGGGCTCTCGTTCATCAAGCTGGTGCCTCCCTGCTGATGGATTGCTGGTGGAGGTTTTATGCAGCTTCAAACTTCGCACTTACAGAACTGAACCCTGCCAGGCGCTTTGGCTTGGGCTACCTACTGTTGCCTCTCTTAAGGTACTTGAGTAGGTAACCCGTTGACAACTCCTGTCACTTGCTCTCCGCCAGCTTCAGGTCCAGGCAGGTCCAGTCCAACTTTCAGTCCATTCTTAACTTAATGGGGCGGGCTGTGTACCTACCTTACTCTCCAAGCAGGAACGAATAACTCGCTAAGGTATCCGTACCTTACGTTCTGTACGAAGTGCTCCCGTCCGCTCTTTCCTCACGGTTCCCCGAGCCCCTGCCTGCTGACCTCACCACCGCCACACCTTGCTTAAGGTACCTACGTGCCTTTACCTTAGCTTGCAGCAGCTCCCATCGGTGTCTTCCCGCCATCATCTCAAGTTTCAATTTCCGTAGCTCGCTGACATGTCCCATATTGTCCTGCCTGCCGTGCCAGCTCCGTCTGAGTCACTCCGTTGACACGCTAGCGATCCTCTGCCTTCTCCAAAGTCCAGAGAGTATCTTTTTCCAACACCCTGAACCCTGGCTGCGGCGTAATCCACCAAGAGGCCAATCCCCGATCCAGAGGAACATGTTCGGGCGGCGGCTACTGCGCTCTATCTTACCGATACAAGCACTTGCTACCTAATCCCCAAGTGCCGTGCTAGGTTTTCTACCGAATGAATAACTTTGGTACGGATAACCTGCCTCTACTATCTGAAAAGGGCCGCGATATCACTCTCACTAGGTAAGCCAGCGTTCCAAGGGGCGAAATACCACCGACCACTAACTAGATCTTATGACTACAGCTCCGGTATCGCATGCTCGTCTTCATCCCATATCGACCGTCTTCGCCAGGTTGCTTCTTCGCCATCCCCCGGCTCTCACTTGGTCACACACTCACACACACAATAAGGCCATGGGGATTCGGGAGCCATACGCTGGACACCAAGACGGTCTGCCGCTTGCCTCCTTGTCGCGAAATTTACAGTGCCCCGTGCTTCCTCAGAAACCCCACATCGTTGCAGCAGCAAGATATCCCCCGGTCCACTCCATGCCCGTGGCATCCACCATCTTTTGGGCGACGACAAGCATCCTCTATCCATTATCATCGCAAGAAGGGAGGGGGGAGGCCAGCCACATTCATCAATGAACACTCGTTCTGCCGGAAATCGGAATTTGGGCGAGAGACTTGTGTCTATCTTCTGCTCAGAGCCTTCAACCAGGTCCATCCCCGTCACCTTTGTCCCCTGGTCGTCGTCATTGTCGTCACTTTCTTGCATCTATTGGCTCCGTCGAATCCCAAATACACGGCAGAGACATGCGCGCAATGCTCCAGAGACAGAATATATACTCGCCAGAGAGAGACATCGGTGCCATTTTTTCCCAAAAGGCCATGCAAGGTACACGCCCACAGTGCCCTCGCACTGCAATTCCGCGCCCTAATTGCCTTCTGTTGTCCAATAATGTCTCTTGACAGCCTCGGATTCTCTTGCGTTCCGACTCAGGTTTCTCCCAACACATACCTGATATCGTTTCCACCCTTCCCCCGTGCCACCGAGATCTTCGCCAAAAAGCAGGGAACAATCCATGCCCGATGGCAACTCATCGATTTCCCTCCCGCTATTCCCGGTCTTCCACCCACGCACTCACTTCAACACTTGCGGCTTGCCCTGCTTGCCGGCCGGCATCTCCGTCTTTTCTTTTTATTGTCCGGCCCGGGCCAGGAACCACGGCTATCCACAGTCCATCCCCTCAAGTCAAGACAGTGATACAACAGATCTTGTCTCACCATCAGCCTCGATTTTGAGTAACACGCCCATCTCGTTGGAAACAAATTACGAAATGAACAATGCGAGATGCAAAGGGAAAACAAACTTCTTATTGGCTCTCCTGTTCCTGTTAGCTACCTTGCGTCCCAAACTTCCGGCTAGCGCCAGCGGCGCGAAGTGTCCATCCCATGGATCCCGCCCCGTTCCCGCTCAGGGGCCTTCCATGATGGTCTTTGTAGATGGGTGCTTCTCGCCTGGACCATGCCGCCGTATTTCAACTTTAAAAGGGGCTATTAGCCAGTGAACCGCAGACGCATCGGCGCGCTCCACGGGCGGGTTCGGGCTCGGGCTCAGCTTTCGGCCATTTGGCTTTTCGCGTTTCGCATCTCCCTGCATCCTGCATGCGGGGATTCCTAGAGGAGATCTGCTGCATGTTCTAGAAATCTTGTGGGATCTGTTCTGCAACGGAGCACGCATACTTTCTTTTTTTGGGCGAGAGTGAGTGCTAATCCAGTTATCCAAATTACCAACCCTTATCTTGTCGCTTTTCACATCAGCTAGGCCCCTGAAGATCAACGAGGGCACGAGAGACATCGGCTTGCATCGTACTCACTCTCATGTGTTTCCCAAAATAATCGACTGTGGCATTTTGGTTACGCGCCACCAAGGCACGAACACCAGCGTAAACGCCAGCGCCAACGCCAACGCCAGCGACGTTGGAGCTAGGAAACCAGCCGCCCTCAGCGCCAGAGACAGAGCCAGAGCCAACTATTGATCTTGCAAGTCCGTCATCAAGCACCAAGCCAAGCAAGCTCCACAGCACCAAACCGTGCAGCAACCGCCAACTCTATCAGGTTTCTTCCTGAGCAAACCACACCCCGCCTTGAATGGACAGCTCCCGCGTCGGCGCGTTAACCGCCTAAGCTTCGACAGGCAACGTTGGGTATCATTCGCCCACTGCGACACTTATGCCCTTCTTCATCAAACAAATCCTAACTGCGCCCCCAAAGCCTATCACAAGGAGATAGAGAGCCCGGTGTCCGCCGAGTGTCAAGGTCCGCGTATCTCGCATCTACAAGCAGACCAAGGCGGACATGCAGGATGAATCCGACGATGCCAGGGTCACCGGGTCCGCTTGGAGCTTACCTTTCGGCTAGGCTCATGAGGTAGGTTACGGGGGTTTCGACTGATCGGATCTACTTGTTCGATTGCGTGTCCCAGTTCTGAGAACGAGAACGAGGACCAGAGTCAGATTCAGAATGGGCAGCAAAGTCTTTGTCAGCTCTGGCTCAATTTGATCCGAACCTCTGTAGGACCCCTACTATCGGTCCTAATTTGACGCATACTTTGCGGCATGGGCAGCATTATGCAACCACGTTCCTGGTACACTTACGAATGCCGCAAGGTTGGAACTGCTTTTACGTCGGCAGGTCTCCGACTGGCCTTTGCGTGTAATGAAATCGCGTTCTAGGCTGTTTAGTGGTGTTTCTCACGATTTTGGTCCACGTTACTTTACTCGACAATCGTCGAATCGATTCCCGGCATATTACTTTGCGGACACAGCCAAGGGAACCTGTTGCGTGAAGTACTTGGCCTCAATTAGGCTTACTGTACGTAGGTGAGCCTTACCAGTGTCATGTATGACCGCTTCACTTACAGTCACTTGCCCGGATGTCGTTTCTTGATCCTCGCGGGGGGGTTGGTGAAAAGTGAGAGTATAGCAGAGGATCGGAAACTGTCATAACTAGAGCAGCTTAGCCGGAAGTCTACACGGGTGACTAGCCGTGTCAGCCTTCCTTATTTGCTACATTCTCACTTCTTGTCAAGTTCATTGGCCTTCTTTTTCCCATCCATCGATCTCAAGTTCACAAGCAGGCCTCCCGGGGTTATTGAGAGCAACTATATCTACTCGGTGCTGAGCTGTGGCTTGAGTTAATGCCAGCCAAGTCCCACCCATGAAGCCGGTTCCCCTCTTTCTTGCTGCTACGGGCCAGAAGGAATCCGTCGCCTGTTAACTGAGATCTTTGCATGAAGACGCCATGATAACGTCCTTCTTTTAGATCTGTAGCTCTTGTATACGGCCCTCCAATACAACATCAACCAGATTGGTCTCCTCGCACCCCCACCCCCCACGTTGTGTATTGGAAAGATGCCTTCCCTCGTATATAGTTCAGACGTGGTCCCCATTTGGTACTCCAGCGCGCTGCTGTCAACAGAGATCAGATATTCACGCAAGAAAACGAGACGTACACACGTCGAATGCGTTGTGTCATGCATCGATCATGGGACCTGTAAAGTACCTGTCGGGGCTGCGTAACCTACCTGGACATCTTATCCAGAGTCTACAGTGCATGTCTCTTTACAGAAGAATCCCATATCCTGAAACAGGGATTTGTATAACTCGCGTATACCAAAAAAAGAGACACAAAGGGATGGAAGAGGTTTGAAGCCGGAGTGATGGCCCCTTCAAGCGCCACAGTGATACAGAGATCCATCGGGGCCCTGTTGAACATCAAAAAAGAGGAAGCAAATCATGCCGAACATCGGAGACAACTTCTCTCCCAAAAAACCTCAAGTCAAGACCGTAGTATCAGGCGAGGGAACGCTGCAGTAAGATCACCAAAGAATAAGAGTTACACGAAATTTTGCATTTCAGCCACACCATCTCTTTTTTCCTATCGCCTGTCTCATTCTCGCTCAGGAAGGGGGGGAACGGGAGTGTGTGATGGGCCACAGCCCTGCTGCCGGAGCAAGAAAAATGCACATCACCCAGCAATCCACGGTCTCGAGACATGAGATGTAGGCACGCGAGCGATCGTTCCTTTTTCTCCATCCCATCCCGACACCATCGGCGCACAACATTGAAATTCGAATTTGGGGGATATTGAAAAGCCCGGCTTGGAAAAAGCCAAGCCGTACAACCCGGTCTCGATATCCGGCGCCACGCCCGTGCTACTCTCATCTATCATCAACCACGATGCCCGCAATATTATGAACGGGGTATGGCAAGCTCCAATTCCTAGGATACAGCCTTTGATGAGCTCAAGGAAGACCGGACCGGGCTCATCACTTCTGCATGCTTCCGATAATCTCCCTCTGCGCCGCGCGGTCCCTACCAGCCTCGCTAAGGCTGCCCACGCTCCGCAGGTCGCCGACGACGTCCTTGGCCTTGCCAAAATAAACCTCTTGCAGCAGGTTACGCATCTTGAGCTCCATGTCTTCGACGAGACGTCCCACGTTGGCAATGTGGCTCTCGTCGCCATCGACCGCAAGCTCCTGCTCAACCTGCCGCGTCATGTTGCCGCTGAGATCCATGTCGCCCAGGGCGTTGGTTGAGGTAGAGAGCGAGAGGATGACGGTCGAGGTGAGCTTGTACTGCGTCGTGCGGCCGCGCTCAATGGCCTCGAAGACGTGGATCGAGTCCCATACACCCTCTGCGCTTCCGCCGGGGGTCGCGGCTGTGATGGGGGGAGTGGCCTGTCAGCTAAAAAGGGTCCTTTTTTCTGATCACAGGCAGGTAACTCAATGGGATAGCCTTACATTTCTTCAAGAGAACCACGCCGGCGAATCCATCGTCCAGGTTCCAAAAGTATACGCTGCTCACACCACCCTCGTAGTACAGATCTCGGTACACGTCAAACGCCTCATTGGCCTTGACCTCCATCTTGCGGACCCTCTCGCTGGGGATCGCGCCCTCACCGGCGCCCTCGCTACCACCAGCGCCGACGCCGCCGACGCCGCCTTCGTCCAGAGGCGGGTCGAACTGGTTGCTCCATGGGGAGCGGTAGCTGTCGCCGTCGCGGTTGTAGTCGCAGAGGAGGTAGTCGCGGCCCGTCTGCTTGCAGCGCTTGACGGTCAGGGGCTGGTCGACGGACGAGAGAAGGTCCTCCGTCAGATCCGGTGCGAGGGAAATGATTGCATTCAGGTGGTCGGTCGTGTGTTTCGGGTTCAGGCGGCGGAGGAGGTCGCTAGACGGCGAGACACGCGGCAGAGGTTAGAGATGATTTGCTTTGATGCATGACGTTTAGGGGATCAGGGCTGCTGCGATCTTACAGAGCCGAGTCGAAGGGGTCGACGGAGGCCATGATGGGCTCTTTGTATGTGTGTCTATCGCTGGAAGAGGTTGTCTTTGAGCTTGTTCGGGGTCGTTGTTGATGAAGGGGTGGCGGTGTCGATTGGATTTGGATGGTCTTTGAGGTTGGGGTGTTAGCGGAAGGTCTGGCGGGGTAGACGGTCCTTAGCCCCTGGGTGTACTTCCCCAGGACCCCACAGCCAGGGAGTTCTGGCCTGCACCTACCACCTCATTGTTGAATAGGCATGGAGCTACAAATGGCACGTCATAATTTGAGGTACCTCACCTTTTACCTTACCATCATTTACCTAAGGTAAGGTAGCTGGACAAAGGGAGTCAGTTCTTGGAGCTATTGCTACCACTCGAGTCAGCACAGCTCTCCACTGTATCGAAAGCTCCTGGAGCTTTCGGTGTTGGACAGCAATAGTCACAGTGCACCATCACATAAGACAGACGTCTCTGGTCAATCAAGCAAGTCTCATCAATCATGACAATGGCTGATGTAGAGTAAAAGAGGATAAGGTAAACATTTGACCACAAACCATGTAAGCTCTAGGAAACTGCTCGCAAGACTCTGGTCTCCAAATTGGCCGCTCTGCTGGCCTTGTTCGCCTTTTTCGTCCCCTTTTGTTGGCGTTCTTCTGTCTGTCTCTTGAGAATACACCAAGACCAATTCCTTATGCCAACCTCACTCAGTTGCGAGATGAATTCCCTCCATTCGCCAACGCCTCGCGCGAAAAATAAAACTGCACCCCAGCCACACCCGAATAATCAGTCTTCTTCCTCGAGACTCGCCTTCAGCTGTCCAGGTCTCTGCCCGTCTGCCCAGACCTGTCCTCTCTCATCCCCTGCAACATGCCTCTTGGCATCTATTCCTCTCCCAATACTCGTCTCCAGGTTCGGTTTACGAACCCCAGTCATACTGGAAATCGTCATAAGCAAAACAGCAGCACTTCCTAAGTCACCGCAAATCGGTGTGTTGAACAAAGTGCCTGCTGGAATAAGTACATCGAGAAGTGAAGCTCGACACCCCATCATCGCGTTGGCGGGTTGTGAAATGACCCCTACTTCAAGAGATCGATCGGTAATTTGGCAGCCATGCAAAGGCCGATTATTTAGCTGATTCCCACTCCGCAAACAACGCAGAGCAGCGGCTCAGTCCACACCTTCTCGCCTTCGGTGACGTTCTCACGAAGGTCCCTAATTTCGATCGTCGAAGGGGTCATATCCATCAAGATCCTCGCCTCAAACAAGCCTTCCCACGGCTTTGCGTCGAAAGAGGACGGCTTCTTCTTGATAGATCTGGCCTTGCGCGACGACGCCGCTGCCGATACCTCGGGTATGGTTGGTGTCGCAGGAGTAGTGGGTGGTTGCGAAACGCGCTCATCGACAACGGCAGGCGTTCCCTCGGTTACTGACTGCCCATTGGTCTCTTCCAGCGCATCGCTCGGCTTGGCATCGATTGTTTGCTTCACATCGGCGCCGCTCTCGGTAGGGCTGAGGGGTTCGTTTACACCGTCATCGAGCGGGTTTTCTTCTTTGACCTTTTCGCTTTCAGCGACCGACGCTGTTCCGTCTGTCGGGGGTTTCGCGGTGAAGTGGGGCTTGTCCTTGCCAAGTCGCTCATATGTTCGCATCAGGGTTTCTTCTCGAAGACAGTGCTCGTGTAGCCACTTTCCGCATTCCTTGTTGGAGCACCCGACGAGGGTCTTGTCCGGGTTGGCGGGCTGTCGGCATTTGCAGGTGCGTTCAACTGACTGCATGGCGGGTTAGCGACAATTGCCTGGCTGGGCTGCGAGGGGTTTATGCATACCGAGAGCTGCTGGGTGCGACAGTCGAAGGCCTGGCGCCAATAGAGGGCCTCCTGGATCTCATCGTCGTTCTCTTCAATCCATTGCTTGACGGTGGCGGGCAATGTCACACTGACGACGTTGATAATGTCCACTGCTTCTCGTCAGTATTGAGATCACTGTTTAGTGAAGCATGTAACCTACTATGGTTAGAAGCAATCAGCTCGTTATGGCCGTGATACGGCTGACGACCTCCCGTGTATCTCTTTCCTTCCATCGTGCCCTCCGGCAGCTCCTCCGGCCAGTACATCCAGTATATGCGCGCATAGACGTGGTGTTCATCACTAGCGCGGATCTCCAGAATGCGCGCTACCCAGTCGTCCTCGGACTTGGACCGCTTCAGGACCTTCTCGGGCTCGTTGGCATCTGTCGAGCCTTCCGCTGCGGCCTTTTGGCGCTGGACTGTTTGGTCGTTTGCGACATAGATAAACCCCTCACTGAAATACTTCGTCCCGTTTACTAGCGCCCGTCACTGTTAGTGCGAGACCATCGCAGGTGGACTGTTGTTGAGCAACTTACGGACGAAGCTATTGTATCGTGTCATCTCCAACCACTTCTTCTGTGGATGCACGTGGTATTCCAAGTCCAGAACATCATTAGCGCTCTTGCCGTTGAAGTCGCCGGAAGGGGAGAAGGGAGAGAGCTGCTTAGAGCTCTTCTTCCCATCCTCCTCCTCTTGCTCCGGTTTCCTCCTCTTCTTGGATTTCTTCTGTGCCTTGATGTCGGGTTCGGCGTAGGTGATGCTGAAGGGGCACTCGGCCTTGTTCTCCTCGACCTCGGCGCGAGGGCGCTTGCGCGAAGTCGACATGATTGATGTAGTTGGAGGTTCGGAGTCGCAAACGCGAGCGCGGTGATGTTATCGCGGGTATGAGAGTGATCGGAGTGATGCGATCTCGATTGATGGTATCCGAGACGAATGACGTTGGTGCGAAAAGCTCGCTGGGATGTCGCGACCGAAGGGAAGGAGCACGGGGTGACTGGAAGACGAATGGGTCGCCCAAAGGACCGGGGGTGGTATGAAGCTGTGTGGCAAGCGCGCGGTCCTAGATGGGCGCTCTTTGTTGACTTTGACAAGAGTGCAAATACTCTGGCAAGCCTGAAGATGGTCCAGGCCGGATATCGACGACCAATGATGGCCACGATGCGCAAAATTGGGAAAATCGCGGGTTGAGGATCTGGCAATTCCGGGACGAGGAGCGGAGCGCGTTCTTGGTACCCAGCGAAAAAAAGGTGGCGCAGGATGATTATTCTACTGAGTCACGTGAGCGCGGCATACCTCCGACGAGCGTCCACTGCCACCCACCTCAGCGACCCAGAGGACGGACCAGCAACCACGATGCGGGCAGGAGGCGTGCGGCGTGCCGCAAATGGGCCGGGCGTGTCACGTAAGCACAGCAGACAACAGGAGCTAGAACCATCCGCGCCTACCAAAATCCTGGTCTGCCTCCGAGGATCCCACAACAAACGCCGACACTTATTTCTCCGTTACCTGATTGGCTATATACCAGTCTCGTCGCTTTACCATGACCTTTTACACTATAGTCTTCGTGTCTCATGCGATATGCCGTTATTCTAGTATACTTGAGCTTGATGGGTGGTCCAAAAGGATAGCAGTTTCGTCGTCATTCAAATCAACAGTCAATCACTTTTCCCGAGTATGCTGACGCGAAAATGAATAGACGAGTGGGGGGATCAAAGAGCAACAAAGAAGATAGGGGATACGACGGAGGCGGCGAGGATGTTGGAGGCGGTAGATACGACAACAGAAACAACGACAAAGTCGACTGTTCTTTACTTGGCGCTTTTGTGTAAAACATGCAATATCGCTAACTTGATTTACCTACGCCGTTGCTATGCAGATATGTTCGGTGATAGGGGCTCAGTTACCCCTGGTCCGGTTATGCTCGTGTTCGACTTCTTCCTCCTCGTCATCGTAAGCGCTGAGAATCGGGCGGTCGTCGCTGTCTTCTGTCTCGCTGCCGGTTTCGCCCTGTAGGCTCTTGAATCCCTCAATAGTCTCCGCAAGTTTCTGACCCTCCCGCTTGCCACGCTCCACGTTCACACTCCAGATGAGAGGCGCCGGAAGCCCAACCAGTGCCGCCAAAAACCAAAATGCCGGCCGGATATCACCAGATTGATCAATGATGGCTCCGACAATTGCAGGCCCAAAAACACTCGAACCTTTGTCAGACGCAGCGTATAGAGCGTAAAAGGCAGCTTCGCTTCCCTCGGGGATCAGTTCGCCGTACAGCGATCTGCAATATGAACTCAAGCCTCCCAACACCAATCCGTACACAGCAGCTAGGGGATACATTTCCCACGGTTGCTGCAGTCCGATAACGCCCCATCTCTGCACAATCGGCAAATATCCGAGAAGTCCGTAAATCGGAATGAGCTCGAAGAGACCGATACAGACAAGGATTGTCTGATGTGGCTTCAAATGGAACTTGCGTGAAATGAAGGCCCAGCTGAAGGCACCGATAACACCAGCTATAGTGGAGATCACATTGATCATGCCCAAAGCCCAAGGCTTCATGTGGAGTTGTGTTTTGGCAAATAATATGGCCGTGGAAGATGTCGTTGCAATCGCATCACTGACCAAGAACCATGCGCATAAGAACAGAACGATGTCTCTTAGGCGGCGAGCAAGCCGGACAGTGTTGAATAACGATTTCCAGGCCATAGCCACATAGGTTGGCCAAGCTCGAATTCCTTTGCCAGACGTGATGGGCATTGGTGGACCTGGCCTAGGGCGGAGCCACATGGCAGCAGGGATCGTGAAGACTGCCTGTAAGATGGTCAGTAACGGTGGATAATGCGCCCAGGCAACGGGGATGAGAGAGAGAGAGAGAGAGCTCGTTACATACCCACCAAAGACCGCAAAAAGACAATGCGACCCTTTGCGACCAGGTAGTGTTTTTCAATGCAATCACTATGGCGATAGCGACACACTGCACGAATAGGCCGGCAATGTAGCCAATGCCAATTCCCTTGGCGGAAATCTGAGTGGACAGCTGGAGCTCGACCGAAGTGAGCTCCTCGTGAGTAGCTTTCCGAACCAGAGGGTAACCTCCGTTTCCGTTCCCGTTTCCATGCCCACCGAGTAAAGGCGAATGTTGGTCTTCAACCTCAGCAGCGGCGGAGTCTTCGTCAACGGAAGAAGCATTGAGAGGTCGCGATTCCAGATCCGAGTGTCCCAGGTCGGGAGTGTGAACAGTCTCGGAGGCAATGACTTCCGGATGATGCCGAACCAATAGCGGCAGGAATGAGTTGAGGAGCACGAATGAGGCGCCAAAACATGTGTTCGAGACAATAGCCAGCAGAGCACCCAGGAGATAGGTGGTCTTGTTGACAAAAATGTAGGCCATGACGGAGAAGCTTCCAACCCAGGCGAATGTGAGCAAAAGCTTCTTTCTCGAGTTGCCGTGATCTGCGGCACTGCTGACGCTCACAACGAGGAGGACCTGCAGCAGGACGCTGATGGAGAACGTATACATGGCGAAACTCGCCGTGTTGATCTCGATACCCAGAGGATACACGACGCATTGTCCATCAGTTCTGTTTTTCGAATCGCTCGTACCACACGGGGTGGTTCGATCAGACAGTAGGACGCCATTTTCGCGGGCAAGGGTCTCGAGGAGGATCGGGATGAAGGAACCTGGGCATCATATGGTGTCAGCGCAACGAGTTCGGGGCGGGGTGCACGGCAATGCTGTGGCGCCAGCATCTCGAGCTATCCAGGCAGGCTCCACAGCTTGATCACTGTCTCGCGACGAATGTCACTGCTCGAATATAAGAGTGGCAGACTATGTCGACTTACCGATAGCTATGTTCAGTCAGCGCATGCACAGACATCCAGATCCATAGACTGGAGGCTTACCACAGATAACATAGGTTTCGGCAGCAAAGGCGTAGGCATACCAACCAGACAGCTCTTTCTGGCTCGTGGGTCGAGTATCTTCGCCTTTGTAACGACCTGGGCCGTGAAGGAAGCCGTCACTACTGCTGCCACTCATTCTGTCGAAGTCGGAGTCTGTATCGGAACGTTCGTCATCGGCCTCAAAGTCGGAGGTGAAGGAGCGAAAAGAGCGTTTTGACAGAGTCGAAAGACGCGACCATAAGCGTGGTGCAGGTGGTGGTCGAGCGTGTTGCTCTTGTCTTGGAACCATGGCGGCTGACACGGGTAGGCCGCAGGTGTGGGCGCAGCTTTACTGGATGGGCAAGGTCGGACAGCTGACTTCTGTGCCTGTGCGGGCCTGTCACCTTGTCTCACCGGACGGATGCACTCCGGTCACAGCACGCAACCAGAACAAAGGTCCAGATGGCCCAGAACTGGAGAAATGTCTCTTTCCCGTTTCTTCCGTCTCTTACAACTTACAGCTGCCTTGAATTTAGGCTGCACTGCTGCAGAGCAATCCGCGGGAACCTGCCAACCTCTGTTGAGCACCTCACTTTGGATGGGGTAAGGAACACAAAGTACCTTTACCAAGGGAAGTTGACTAACCAACCGGGCAGGTAGGATAGGTAATGCAGTCAGATAATGCGGAATTCCAATGCCAATGCGGATTGCGGGTGCAGATGCGGGTGCTGGTTCGGGCAAGGCACCTAGCACTGAAGCGTCGTACTCGTCGCAAGTGCTAGGCACCTCGCCAAAAGTGAGAGGCGAGTTGATGACGGGCTTGTATTCGGACCCCGCTGATGCTGCAGCTGAGTCGGACCACTCGGTGATTTTCCACTGTCCTGTTACTGTTGGCTGTGGTAACCCAATCTGTTTTCCCGAGGGCTCGTCAATGGAGTCTTCGCTTGTGAGAGCCTGCCGATTCCGAATACAGGATGTCGGCCGTCATGAGCCCGAGAAAAGAGGCGACTATTGTGAGATGCGACTATGTCAGTTGTTCAACGGTGACTGCTATGCGTCAGTCCGAATACGCCGTGTTTGCGAGTTGCGAGGTCGGTCTTTGGTCCGCTGGGGCAGCAACATGGGGCCGCGACGAATTTTATCAGTCAAAACCAGGACAGAAGATCGGGACAGAACTGGAGAATAGAGTAGAAGAAGAACAGGACGGGAAAAATGAGGCGAGGCAGGTTGATGTGTCGTCAGGTTTGCAAGATCCGGTTGTGGGCCGGCGTGGTTGGTTATATGGCGTCGCAAAAGTCGTCGAAAGCAGGCCGGGCCAGAGCAGAGAGGCAAGGACATGGACATCCAGGGTGACAGTGTCAATCCATGGACTCTCCCGGCCTCTAGCTCCATGCCTACTTGGTCGCTCTCTGCCCTTTTGCCTGTCTTCTGCGCCGCGGCTCCTTTGCCGGAGCCGTTCTAAGCTGAGCCAAGGCCACCAAAGGCCCGCCGTCCGCCGTTCATCACATCGCATCTCCCCTCTCAACCCTCCTCCGCCCAACCGCTCTCCTCCCTGTGCATCTGTAATGTGTGTAAGGGAGTCGCAGAATCTTCTCCAAATACCCCAGTCGCGACGAAAACCGTTGCCCAATCTCGCAAGCGCTGCGACGACAAACATGGATGCATCCAACTAGATCATCGCCGATGGGACGGTGTTCCTTCCTAGCGCCGCTGCCACGCTTGAAGCATATCGCGCTATGAGGCAACGGACTCCATTTATCGTGAGAGGATGCGCGTTGAACGACATGCGTTGTGAGACGAACCAGGTTCTTCATTCGTCCGATATTCCATGGTCGGCATGCGTCGATGGATATGGGCTGCATCCTCCTTTGGGATTGGGCATTGATCGTACACCACAAATTCTCCATCTCCAACCACCATGGCCATTGGCACTTTACGTTGCCTACACCGCAAGAGGCTGAATCCCACTGCATTGGTTAATTCTTCAACGGCCTCCCCGGCTCCCATGGAGTTTCTCTTGTTCGACCTCGTAGGGATGCAAGCCCTCCCTGGTAGACACGAATCAGCGTATCAACCCCACCGGACTCTTTCAAAACTCCGAGTATCGCAGACTTGATAGAGTCGAGACCTTTGAAAGCTGAAATATCGGTACAGATCTGTCAGCTGTAGCCCACCGGGTTAGGCCCACCAAGTGTCCAGGGGTTTGCGTTTCCTTGGCTAGAGCCGTGCCGTCTTGGGAGTGGTTGGTTTTCCAGTTGAGTAAAAACGACCCCAGGTCAATTTCAACTCGCATGCGGCGTTCCTCGGATGTTCATGTTGCACAGGTTGCAAGGCTCCGTTCATTGAAACTTCGTACTCGACCACACTCCTCTAGCTCTCGTTTCTCGCATTGAAAAACGCAGCTGCTGTGTGTGTTGCAACCCAATTCTCGTCGCAGCACTGCGGCGAGGCTTCACGGCGATCCAAGCCGGACTGGGGCTTGCGGGGGCGGGCATTCTGCAAGTGCCCGAGCGATCTGCGGTTCCTCTTCGCGCCAGTGAGCGTGTCTGCCCACCACATTTGAAAGACCCGTTGGACCCTGAGCGATGATCACCGGCATGTAAATCGAGTTAACTTTAAAGAAAACTGCACAGCGCGGACGTGGCGATGCGCTAGCATCGCCATGATCGATGCTGTTACTCGACAGTGTTTGGCAACAAGAGTCCAGTTGGTTTCAATGGCAGCGGCAAATGTGCGTAATGAGAATTCTTGTCATATTTCGAAAACGTATGCGAATTGCTGTCTGGACGCTGCATTCCGCGAAAGTTCACCGCTTCAGTTTAAGGTTCCGCAAAGACGGGCCTCGGCGTGGAAGACCCATAGAATCCACTGTCTGCAGCAGGCATCTGTCCTGTGACCGGATGAAACGGGCACCTGGAGCTCGGGGTGCGACTCCTTCGATACTTTGATGAAGCAAGGCTCCTGCGAAGACGTGAAGTTGAAAGATGATGTATGGCCCGGAAAGGTGTTTGGAAAGACGAATTGATTCTGACTACGGATACCTTACCTAGGTATTGAAGTGGTCGAGTGATTGAGCACAGACCCGGCATACCCTGCCGAGTTTCTGCCGAGCTCAACTACACCACCCACCAGCTGGGCCTAGCGCGTGTGCACTGACCACTCCCCACCACACCGAGCATCTCCGACACTCACTCATCTGCATCTTCACAGGACGCACATGAGATTTCTCACCAACCCTCACCATCAAAGCGATATATACCGCATTCCCGACACACCTTTCATCAATAAACAATGGCGAAGTGCCAGAGTGGTTAATGGGTTTGACTCGAATTAACTCTGTCTTTTCAGAGCCTTCTATCAAATGGCTTCGGCCGCGCAAGTTCGAATCTTGTCTTCGTCGTTTACTTTTGATTTTTTTACCACCCACGGACGAGTTGTGTCTTTTTATGAGTCTTGACTCATAGTTTAGGCTTTCCCCAATGCACTCACTTATTCAGACTCATACTTTCTGTGAGGAAGGTGTTGGTTGCGCCAGCGTTGTATCCGCGCCCACCAAAAACTCGATCGATACATTGGGACGCATGAGACGGGATAACACGATGAAAGCAGTTTGGTAAGGGTTTTACAATAGTGCCAGTGGCAGGATATCATTCAAAAAGTCGAGACAAAGTCTCGACACGAAATAGATCTTACGAAATGGGGAATATCGTGAAGGGTATGTCAAAAAACTTCCAGCCCAGGTCCAACCAGCATCCGTCGCAACACATCAGCACCCAAAATTACCGTCCCCCTCACATTCCCACCTCAACACGCTTTTCCGACAGGCCAATCTTTTCCTTCTTACTTCTTGTGGAAGGGTGCGAGGATTTTGGCCTTGAGCTTGTCGGCGACGCTGACGCCCGAGTGGCCGTCGGCACGAGCCTGCGCAGCGGCCTTCTTCTCATGGTCAATCTCCTTGTGGGCGGCCGACTTCTCCGTCTCGACGGCGTTGCCCGCGCCGCCTCGGCCGACGTGGTAGTCCTGGCCCTCCATGGAGGGGCGGTAGGCCTCCTCGGGGACGAGGTCCTTGTCGGAGCGCGGAGCGGGCTCCTTCTTGGCGTCGCCAATGTTACCGGCACCTGAAGGACAGGGCGCAACCAGTTAGCCTACAGAGCACGAAGCGTTTGACTGTGAAGAGGTTGCGATATCTGAGGACATCGTGGGGTGGAGAGTGAGCATGGTTGGGGGCGGAGCATCGGCCAAGTGGGCGAATGCGCCGATGCCGCTTGGCAGGCTGGGTGATAAGGCGATGCGCTGGGCGCACTCGTCCCGTGTCAAGACTCACCTCCTCGGCCTGCGCTGAATGCGCCCGTTCCCTGAGACCCCTCGGGACCGGCCCTCACGACCTCGCCGTCGACGTACTGGGTGTCGTCAACGGCCATGTTTCCGGCGCCACCTCTTCCGTGAGATACTTCGGCAGTCATCGTGTTCGAGTTTAATGTATGATGCAGGGTGTGTGGTTCGTGAGCTTTGGTGAGTGAGTTCGTAGTGGGATGAGTTGAGTGGGAATGTCCTTCGGAGGAAAACAACGTGGGTGCGCAACTTTATTTGAGTAACTCCGCAAGATGGGACGAGAATAACAAATCGAGACCAGGTACGTCAGCGATATTATATATAGATAAGGCACCTGTTCCTGGCAGCTCTCTACCGTACATCACATCATATGGTAAGGGAAGATAAGTGAAGTACATCTACTTATCAGTGAGTGTGAGTGAGCACCTAGTAGGGATACCTCCCCCGCCCCCCAAAGCTAAGGTTATCTCTCTGACAGAAGCCAACCCATCCACCAACCTGGGAGGCAGCTCATCAAGCCTGCAACTGAATGCGGGATGTCTACGGATTAGTGTCTTGGGGGCCACTGGGCGTGGGGATTCCAGGTAGGTGATACTCCTGGTGAGCCAAGGTTTCCTTCGTCTCTCTTCGAGAAGCACTTGCACATGCTTGAGAGCTGACCACCCTGCCTCCACGGCTCAACGGTACTTCTACACACATGGCATACTGGGACAAGCCAACCAGCGGCTCAACGAGACCATAGGCGAATGACAGCAGCCTCTGCTCTGATAAAAACATTTGGTTTACGTACCTGGATTTCGTGAGAGCTCTGGGAACATTACGCATCGGCATCAGCCCAGCGCTAGCCCCCTATGAGCGCCGTCATCGGCACCCATTCCTGCTTCTTCGGGGTCATTTTGCGCGACCAACTATGAAACTGGGTTTAACATGCATCGCTGTCACTCATGGACTTTCCGGTGTGCTGATATTGCACTCATCTTCGGTGCCATCTAACCATCGGTTGCTTCACGTTCCTGGAAGAGCAGTCTGCAGCCCTGAATGGTTTGTTACTGAGAGCCAAACCTTCTTCTCACCATAACCCCGGTCCCTGTCTACTGATGTTCAGTGGATGTCGTCATTGCCCCTCACCTGGTTATTTGCAGTGTCACCGGTACAGCTAGTCGCGCAACTTGATCAGTCAAGAGGGCGACAATATTATTTACGAAACATTTTTACTCACCCCTTAGCCCATCTTCATTCAAACACCGAGTCGGGTGAGTGATATGTAAGCTTAGATAGTTCATTGGAACGACATGTTCACATGACTGGCACTGGAGCCGGCTTAAACTGCACAATGCGCGCTCGGGATATCTATCAGCTGGAGTCGAGTCGACTTAACCCTACCAAGCGCTCAAGCCATTCGTTCAACTGACTGCCTGCTGAGGCGCCATGAGGAAAGGGATAGTACTTGACCAGAATAAACAGAAATTTTATAAATCACAGCTATAGTAGTTCTTTTCGAAACAAGGTCTAAAAACTCGAGTTTCGAGTACCAGCATCTTCACTACCCCTCTCACTGTTATAGCTGTCCCTATTACTGTTCACTCTGACTGGTTCTCTCACAATATTCACCATCGAATATGTTTCTAGAGGTCCCGAAAAGTCGTAATAACGAAGCTGTCAGCAATGAAAAAGGGGGTTTGTTGTACCATACCCGCTGCTGGCGTTGCTGGAGGATGCGGTGGCGGCGGCATCATAGCCGACACATCACAAAGTTAGTAAAGTTTATGACCTCCACTCAGAGTTCGCCGGTGATGGCCTTTGATCATGGTCATTTCGTGATCTTGGGGCAAATAATGAATTGAAAGGTGCCATGGATTCAAGCTGCTTGTCCGTAATAGAACAGCGGGCCAAAGTCAGCTTTCTAGACACTCGAGCAGTCCACAGCGCATGTTTTCTGACCACCATGACTTCAATTAATGAGCTTATAAAACGTCTTATCGTCTTACATCAAATCTATACAGCAGCTTACCCGCCCCCTCTTCTCGAAGAAAAACACTACAGCAGTGACACCGAAATGAGAGCCAGCCTTGTGAAATATCAGCTGGTGGGTAGCATTGATGCATGTCAGCCCTAGCTACAGTTACGATTGGCCGCAGGCAGGATGGCTAGCTAAGGCGATGCACCACGATGCCATTTCTCCGCTGTTATATGAAGCTTGCCTTCGCCCCATGCTTGCGCTCGAGAGAGGGGTACTTCTATCTTGCTTCAAAGACCTGCATTTCGTGCGAGATGGATCCCGTCACCGTCATATCTGGTGTCGTTGAGCTTTTCGGCATTGCCCGCCAGATTCAAACTCTTGTGGAAAAGTACAAGAATGCACCCAAGGCTGTACACGAGATCATTGCCGAGTGCAACTGGACGAAGACTTTGTGTCTCACTTTGCAAAACCAAGTCTCACAGACTGACGCTCTCGACAAGCCGGCCAAGAATAGTATTGAGCATGTTATGCGAAAGTTGTTTGATACGTGCATGGACAACATAAAGAAGACACTCAGGTACTTGGACGAAGAAGTCAGCAAGGTGCAGAGCAAAAGCACCTCGCGCATGGGAAAGTGGGATAAGACCAAGTTCATATGGAAGGAGGAGATCTTTACAGAAGCTGCGCAAAGTGTCCAAGCCCAGAAAGCCAACCTTGGCATCATTATGCAGGCACTGAACGGGTACGTAGTTGAGCCAGATGCCGATCAAGTAAGATCAATAATCTAACAAATTACAGGCGTACTGGTAATCAAGTTGAAAAGGGCGTCAACAATGTACAAAAGGGAATCGACAATCTCGAGGGGATACTTAGAGAGATATTGCCCGAGATTCTGAAAATGCAAAACCCACCTCAATTGGGTCTACAGCCACCATTGGAGCTGAAGAGGAGTAGATCAGATACTCAGATCAGCACAACAGGCAAGCGATTTGCTGACGACCTCTTTGCCGCCGTCCGAGGAGGGCGGCTTGAGGACCTTGAGCCCATTTTGGCCCAAGGCGCCTCTGTCAACATAGCCCTAGGAGACCGCGGTGACCGAGCCGTACATCTTGCTGCTCGCGAGGGATTTCTGCTCGTCCTGGACCGGCTTATTGCTTCCGGAGCAGACGTCAATGTCCAGAATGCGTTTCAGGATACAGCCTTGCACCAAGCGCTCAATCGAGGACAGATTCCCACTTCATTGGCGCTGTTGTCGAGCGGGGCGAGTTGGAAGATCAAGAATGCCAACGGAACTACGCCGCTTCACACAGCCGTGAGGAGTTCTGCATATCTTGTTGTGCAGTATTTGCTCGATAAGGGGGCAGACGCAAACGCTCGAGACAAATGGGGTCAGACTCCCCTTTATAAGGCATGCTATCCCCCAGAGAAGGATAAGCAAAAGGTCCATGCCGTCGATCTGAAAATTATCCGTTTACTCGTCGAGCGAGGAGCAGATCCAACACTTGGGGCTTGGAAAACCGGCAGAACTCCGATTCACGGGCTTGCGTCGAGTGGGCACGCAAAGGAGCTCGAGATCTTGGCCAAGACAGCCAAGACTCTCGAACTACCGCTGACAGGAGACTCTCAGGGTGAAACGCCGCTCCTCATTGCGGTCAAGAACAAACACTCAGACGCCGTAGACGTCCTGATTAGATATGGAGCCAACGTGAACGCGAGAGAGACTTCGAAAGACGGTGCGGCGCCGACTGCCCTATGGCACGCCGCATGCAATCCGGATCTAAGTACCGCGAACAAGCTTCTCGAAGCTGGCGCAGATCCTAATGCAAAGAGCAATGGCATAACTCTTCTTCATCTTGCGGCGACGAAGCATTGGCTTGAGCTGGTCAAGCTGCTGATCAAACGTAAGGCCGATCTGGATGCCAAGTCATCTAGCAACGATACACCTCTCCATGCGGCAGTCTGGGCCAAGGACTTTCCGATAGTCCGTCTTATGCTAGATAATAGGGCTAAAGTAGAGGCAAAGGGCAGCAGCAAAGCGACTCCGATCATGGCAGCTGCGCAGACCGGCTCACTGCCAATGGTCAGACTTCTTCTTAGGCATGGAGCTCAGTGGTCGTACATGACGCCTCAAGGCACAAATGCGTTTATTTGGTCATTGAGCGGCGGAAGTGTCGTATGCGCGAGCTTCTTTCTCGGATGTGGCCAGAATTTGCATCACAAGGCCGAGGGAGATTACACTGCGCTGCACTATGCGGCGAGGACAGGCAAAATGGAATGTGTCAAGTTGCTCCTAGAGCTGGGTATAGATAAGCAGGTCATGCCGACGAAGATGAGGGTACCTTTCAAGGTCAAGGGAACGGCAGCTGAAGTGGCGAGGGCGCATGGGGCCGTTGAAGTGGCCGAGTTCATTGAAAGTTATAGGGGCGAATAGTGTGTTGAGATGATCACGAGTCTTGTTCGAAGTAGCCCCTGGATTATTAGTTATACTGAACGTCGGAATGATATGTGAGTGGATGAGCCTGGTATTTTCTTTTACATTAATATGTTGTCAGACTGCTAGATATTTGTCGTAATCTGGATGAGAAAAAGCCCTTAGTTTGACTTATTATCCTTAATACGCCTTACACTCTACCAAGGGATCAACAGTACTCGTTGATATGGTGATGGATAGTAATCTCGTTTGAATTGAAAGATGGAGAGAGGTGAGAGTAGATACCCAAACAAGCTATGACTTTCGTCGAATAGACTGCTAAAGAGCAAGAAACGAATGTTTCCAAGGTATTCTGCATGGGACAATGAGGCTTCATTTCACAACACCAATCAATGAAATGATTTCTCATCTAACAATGAGAGACTATTTTGAACCCCACTTGAAGATGCAAATACTCAGCCATCACAAAGGGGTCATTTAGCTATGCATTTGAGTGGATTGGGCTCAAGCTGAAATACACAAGTCTGGTCAAGAGACTTCCCGGGGAGTTCATCATCACAAAGAGTACCCTTAACCTTCAGCTCGTGATGATTCGCTCTTTAGGAGCTGGCCATCCTCACCACTGACCATACGGGCCCCAGAGCCTAGGAAGGTGTGAAAGGCGGTACTCGATAGATACCTACCATACCTAGGCTCAACACCAATGCTCTCTTTTCAGCTTGTTTCTTTTTGGGCTGCCTTTTCTTCCTCGCACATGCTCTTTCTCTATGATTATAGCTGAAGTAGATAATCAACCCCAACACCCTATCAACAACTTCATCAGTGAGTCTTTCTAAGATTGTTCCACATCCTCAGTGTTTCCGAAACGTCAGAACTAAACGCGCAGCATGACAGACACACTCCGCTCCCTTTCCATCAAAAATGAAACACAGCCGCTTGTTATTTTGAGAGCGCATTCCACTATCGACACTGCCATACGCACCAAAGTTTTCACCATGGACGTTTTCAACCAGCAACAGGAGATCGATGACGCGTATCTCTTAGCGACGATCCTGGTGTATATGACTGTCGGTCGTGACCTTATCACCGCCCTCACCGTGGTCTTGGCTCTTCGTTCCGCCATCGTGGGAGGCACAACGACCTTGACGCTTCGCTACTTCATGGTACTCTTCGTCCGCTACATTATCATCTATGCGACCGAGGTTCCCTACATCATCCGCAAGAAGAGATGGACCAGCTTCTGCCACCGGTATCAACTACCACGCAACGTCGCAAGATTCGGCTCTTTCTCCTACCTCTGTGTGCAATTCAGCCTACTTGCCATCGAGACCAACCTGTTCCGGCTTTGGCGCCAGCATTGGCTTAAAGGGGGCGCGGATGGACAGGGCACCGGTGTGGCGTTGGCGGCTACCATCGCCTCACTCACGATGTATACCATCCGACAGGCGTACATCAAGGTGCGCTTCCTCTGGGAGCTCATACGTAGTAGCCGTCGGGCTGTCGACCGACGTCCCAGAGATGTGGAAATCATAGTCTATTCTACAGAGCACTGATGGGACCTTCACATCAAACTGTGGATAGGGCTTTCTTATGCTTGTACGAAGCTCGAACTGGGATGGGGATGCGTGGCTTTGAGTATAGGTACATGGGCAGACCGGGAGGCAGGACGGGACAGGACTCGATTAGATTGAACGTTATTGCCCGAGTTGCAGACATGACCACGCTTGGCTTGTAGATAAGAAACGAAACACCTTATTCTTGACCAAGACTGTGAGACATTCTTTATTATAATTACATCGTGCTCCAGGATGGTTTCTTCCTCACACATTCCTGAGTGAGCGACGTGTCTGTCCCATGGAGCTAAGCACTTTAATCTTTCGGGAGAAACACGTGACTTCGCGACGCACCCCAAAAGACCCCGCGATTTTCGTGTTTTACTCAGTCTTAGCCCCAACGTCATTACTTCTTGACCACTTCACCCCTTGTACAGACTTCGCCTCCAGACTACGCCTCCCCAACTCGTGCAGCATAATGCAAGTGTGGATGGCGGGCTCGACAGAACTTGCGACAACACAACCCTCCACAGTTCGGATTTCTTGAGAAGAGCACCCACTACACTGGGCACTTGTGGCAAAATGGGCCCTCCATCATCGGCAGCGCGAAAGAGGCCTACGACGACTCCCAAAAAACCGTTGACCAGGTTGCCTCCTTCGAAAAAGCCTGCAGGAAAACCCAATGCTAGCATTCTAAGTTTTTTTCAAAAGGCCGAAAAGCCCGAGCAGACGTTGTTTATCGATGGCCACGAAAAGCTCGTTGTTCCCCAAAAGGAAGATGATGAGGTGCCGGAGATATACGACGCCGAACCCTGGGATGAGGAGGGGAGGTTTAATGAGGTTGAGGCGCCAAACAAAAAGCGGCGGCTAAGCCAGGAGCCCGAGAATATCGAAGGGGAACAATCAGCCGCAAGAGATTCTAACAGCCCTGTGGTATCCGAACCACCACCTTCATCACCCACAGAGAGGCCTCCTAAGAAGGTGGCCGCTAAGCGGAAAGGCCCTTTTCTCGACGAATCTGATAGTGAAGAGGAAGAAGAAGCCCCGGCAGCTCGGAAATCAAGTCTCATCGGTGCTATTCGCAGTCGACCTCCCATCGTTCCACCGGTCAAGCCGGAGGACGACGCGATGTCTTCGGCAACGAAGCAAGATAATGCTGCTACGCCGTTGGTTCAGCTAAAGGAGGAAGAAGAGGAGGCAAAACCGTCAGCGACGGAACACAGCTGCCCGCCACCGCCATTGAAGGTTGAGGACTCGATCGACGCCGAATTTGCAAATGTTGACGACTTTGGTGACCTAGACGATTTCCCCAACGAAGAAGACTTTGGCGGCGAAGAATACCGCATGATGCAGTTCATGGAGGAACAAGCCCGTTTGGAAGCAGAAGCCGAGGCTGCAGATACGGGCGACTATTCTTGCGACGAATTAGCCGATCCTCCCCGGCCTAGCGATGCCATGGTGGCCAACTGTCCCATTTGCGACGGCACACTTGCCGGTATCACACCTGACGAAGCAACACGGCATGTAAACGCCTGCCTCGATGGCAACCCGATTCCACTACCCCAACCCAAAGAGGTCAAGAAAGTCAAAGATGAAGTCGCCAGACCGCCGATTCTCGAACCACCTGAAGTAAATAAACGACTTGCGCGCGCAGCAGTACCACGAGAGGGCCAAGCCAACCCATTCAAGCTGAGCGAAGTCCAGAGCAAGTCGACTTCTGCCTTCACCAAATTGATGTCCGGCCATGCTGAAGACGCTGCCTGGGCCGGTGCCGCTGCTGCAGAGCATTCATCACGCGGGAAGCCTGCATATCAACGGACCTGTCCCTTTTACAAGATCATGCCTGGTTTCTACATCTGCGTAGATGCTTTCAGGTATGGTGCGGTCAAGGGATGCAATGCCTATTTCTTGAGCCATTTTCATAGCGATCACTACATCGGCTTGACTTCCACCTGGACGCACGGCCCAATATACTGCAGCAAAGTCACCGGAGACCTGGTCAAGATGCAATTGCGAGTCGCCCCTAAGTGGGTTATTGCTCTCGAGTTCAATCAGACAGAGGAGGTACCGGGCACCGAGGGTGTGACGGTGACTATGATCCCTGCCAACCACTGCCCCGGCAGCTCTCTATTCCTGTTCGAGAAAACAATGGGAAAGGGGCCAAATGCGAGAAAGCAAAGAATTTTGCATTGCGGTGACTTCAGAGCCTGTCCGGCTCAGGTTGCTCATCCTCTACTCAAGCCCGACATACAAGATTCGATATCAGGCAATCTCAAGCAGCAAAAGATTGATGTCTGTTACTTGGACACGACCTACCTCAACCCTCGCTATTCATTCCCGCCTCAGAATGACGTAATAAAGGCATGCGCAGACATGTGTAAGTCACTTGCTCCAGACCAGACGTCAGAAGACAACACATGGGACAAGATCAATAGAGAGGCTGGCACGGAGACAGTCAGTAAGTTCTTCACGAAGACGAATGCGGACGATGCTACTGCAAAGGCGAAGAAGAAGAATGCACCAAAGGAACGCCTCCTTGTCATGTGCGGTACTTACTCAATTGGTAAGGAGAGGATTTGCAAGGCTATTGCACAAGCTCTTGGAAGCAAGATATTTGCATCCAAGTCGAAGATCCGCATTGTGTCCAAACTGGGAGACCCAGAGCTGACGGCACTTATGACGGATAATCCGCATGAGGCTCAGGTTCACATGCAAATGCTGATGGAAATCCGCGCCGAGACGCTACAAGAATACCTCAATGGGTACAAGCCGCATTTCAGCCGTATCGTAGGGTTTCGTCCTTCCGGCTGGAATTACCGTCCACAAGGTGCCAGCAAGGCGGTGACAGCCAGCACTCAACCTGGCACGATTCCGATGACACAGATTCTTCAAGGCAAGGCCTGGCGGCCTCGGTTCGGGGCAAAGGATTTCGTCGCGCAACGTGGCAGCACGAAAGAGGCCATGTGCTTTGGAGTGCCATACAGTGAGCATAGCAGCTTCCGGGAGCTGACCATGTTCGTCATGTCCCTGCGCATCGACAAGGTAGTACCCACGGTCAATGTCGGCAGCGAAGTATCGAGGAAAAGGATGAAGGGCTGGATCGATAAATGGCTGTCTGAGAGGAGAAAGGGCGGACTCGTCCTTCCTCTCGAGGGCGAAGAGGGCGAGGGTAAAGAAGTTGCACTGTGGAACGGCAGAGACAGCCGTGGAGGAGGCGTCTGGTGGTGATTGCTTGCTTCATCAGAATAGCATAATGAATAATGAATACCTTGCGGTCGGGCGCAACTCCCGTTGACCATTTGATTTGTTTCGTAGATCTCTGTCTGGATATCATATCCCCTCTGTTTAAACTCCACATTGCCAATTCAGGTCTTGCCAGACGGCAAGAATATCGTTGAGCACGTGTACCTAGCTGTGAGGTTTTGGTCTTCATTCCACCACATGCGAGGACCGGCTTTTTCAGTGCCCCGGCCATATCGCCATGATCAACACGCATCATTCTGAACCCCTACGACCCTTCAACTAATAGTCTATTTCGCTTTTGCGGCCTGGGCAGCAGCCTCTGTGGTGGCGTTAGCGCTGTCCCCATACCTGCGATGAACGTGATGAAAACGCAAGACTCACCTCTGCGCGTCGCGTCCTCCAGGAGGGGAACATCTACTGAGCCAGCGGGCAAGTGAACATAACGAACAACGGAGCCACGGATGAAGACGTTCTTGACAGAGCTCTGCATAGTTGCGTTAGCGACATTCTCCAGGCTGGCTCTCCGGCCGAACAAGGGTTCGTGAGAGCCTGGGTGCAAGGGGGTGCAGGCGGCAGACGGACCAGATGCGGGTACTTGAGCTCTTCGACGACGGAAATTTCTTCCAACTTGATGTTGAGGTACTGGTCGACGCTCTTGAGGATGCCGCGGATCTGGATGTCGTTCTTGAGCTCGACGGTGACCTCATGGTCGATGAGCGTCTTGAAGAAACTAGTGGGCGTAATGTCAGTGTTTGCATGACCCACCGTGCGCGGGGCGCACACTCTAGACTTGAAAGCTCGTGAAATATCGCGGTCCCCGAGTGAGTTTTGAGACTTACCTGAAGAAGAGCATGGTGGGCGGTTTGTCTGGATGCTGGGTTGTGATGAGCCGCTCAGTAAGGTCGTGATGCTCTTGATTGAGTGCGAAGAGGTGTGGGGGGCTTGCGTACTGTGTTTGAAGACAGTGTGCACGGCTGTCTCAGTATTAGGCTCCATCATGGACTACACTGTGATGTGGCTCAGCGCTTGTGGCTGACGGCTTCCGCTAGAGCCAGCTCTCTGGTGGCAAATGGCCACTGAATCGGCCAGTCCGTTCAGGGGAAGACCTCACAAAGTGATTAGCATCAGCGGCGACTTTTACTCAACTTCATGTTCCTCGCACACCTTCACATCGATTAGTCTGGCTTTTTGTTCTCTCTTTGGTGCAAGACTTGGTGTTTTCCAGAGACACTCGAATTTGCTTAAGTGCTGCTTCGAAAAGTTCCGTCGTTGAATACAACAAATTATGTCTTTGGCTAAGGTGACTGAATGGAGGAAACTACCGCTCAGTTTGGCTGAGCTATGCATTGATACGACTCTTCGGTGCGGCCAATCTTTCCGATGGCGCAAAGTCAATGATATGTGGTCAGTTATATTGAGCTCCTCGTGTACTAGTTCACTTTTGCTGAGAGTTCAACCAGGTGCTGCACGTTATATGGTCGAATCGTGTCATTAAAGCAGGACTCAACTCACTTGCATTACAAGGTCACTTGGCCTACGAAACCAACTTATCCGCTCACCCCTCCAACTTTTGACAGCGAAGCTAGTGAGGATGACACAGAGGAGTTACTACGGCACTATCTGAGCCTCAAGTTGGACCTCAAGTCCCTGTACGAGGAATGGTCGAAAGCGGACCCCAACTTTCGCAAGAGGGCCCCAGAGTTTGGAGGCGTTCGCATGTTGAGCCAAGACGCATGGGAGGCTTTGATTTGCTTCATATGCAGTAGCAACAACAATATCGCCAGGATATCGCAAATGGTAAGAACTGCTGCAGAGTGGGACAAGTTACCCAGTACTTACACTTGGCCAGGTTCACAAGCTGTGTCTACACTATGGCCCGCTCATTGGTAAGATTGGGGACGAAACATTTCACGACTTCCCAACACCCGAGGCTTTGACGGGAAGCTCAGTAGAGGCGCATCTGAGGGAGCTCGGTTTTGGCTATCGCGCAAAGTACATCGCGCAGACGGCTTCGATTGTGGTCAATGACAGGCCAAAGGGATGGTTCGAGAGCCTTACCAACCCAGAGAACCCATGCTACATCAAAACGGCTGAGGGTTCTAAGCTGCCCCAGTGTACATACAAAGAGGCGCATGAACAGCTGCTCCAGTTATCGGGCGTAGGCCCCAAGGTGGCCGATTGCGTCTGCCTGATGGGCCTGGGCTGGGGTGAGGCCGTGCCGGTGGACACGCACGTCTGGCAGATTGCTCAGCGAGACTACAAGTTCGGCAAGACAAAGACCAAGACGTTCAACAAGGCGATGTACGATGCCGTGGGAGATCATTTTAGGGAGCTCTGGGGCAAGTATGCGGGGTGGGCGCACTCTGTGCTCTTCACGGCGGACCTCAAGACCTTTTCTGAGCGGACAGTGAAGAAGGAAGAAGACCAGACGGTGACGGTGAAGAAGGAGGTAACCGTTGACCAAGAAGCGCCCATTTTGGGTCAGAAACGTAAGGTTGTGAAGACGAAGGTCAAGGTTGAGGTTAAACATGAGGCGCCCGACACGGCCCTGCTAGATTCATCGCCGAAGCGAAGGAAAACACGATCGCAGGCTCGAAAGACGAGCTGATATATCTACCTTAGTAATACAACCTCGTCATGCACGACATGAGCGATATTCTACCAAGTTATTTACTGACCTAGCTTCTCATCCCCGACCATGTCGCAATGCGCATAGACAAAGTTTTGCAGCACTGATTTACTGCGACATGTAGGCGGAACAAGCTAGAACTCCAAGATAGTTTCGACCTGATAGTATGCAGGTGAAAGCCGTAGAAAAATAAGATTGATGTCGTTTTCTCTGTTGTTTATCTGTCGCGGATGCTCCGAGGTTGAGGTGCAGAAGCTCCCAGCCTTGGCGTTCTCGGCTAAAATTCGGGCGCCCAAATTCTGGTGGCGTCGCCGACAGCAAAGCTTTTGCCTGCGCAGATTGCAAACTCTCCTGCGACCCGGCCATTTGCTACCCCCTTCAGCCTCATCAGCAACACAACAACCATTACTGATGCGCGCCGCCATCGTCGATCGCCCACTTGCATCTTCAAGTGACATGAAGCAACCTTGCCCATAATTCAAAATGTCCGACGCAGACTTCGAGACTGTCCGGAAGCTCCAGGCGGAGCGCAACGCTGCCGCCGCTGCGAAGAAGGGTTCGACCACTTTCGACCCGAACAATCAACGTGCCGACGCCGGCACCAAGCAGAAACTCACCGATAGCTTCGACACCGATCTGTACGATCGAAATGGCGTCGACAAGTTTGCCGGATACAACACGTCCATCCCGGCTGGCGATGACGATGACGACGAGATGGAAGGCACCGACAACACGCGCCGTCTCGTCGGCCAGTACACGGCATCGCGTGAGATGATTGACGAGTTTGCACGCGGCGATGGTGTCGAAGAGGATGACCCCTTGGCTGGCCGGGGCGAGAAGAGCAACAGGATTACCGATCGCGAGACAGACTACCAGAAGCGCCGATTCGACCGCGGTCTCTCCCCTTCCCGAACCGATGCCTTCGCCAACGGAGACAACAAAAACGGCGATAGCTACCGCGAGATCATGCAGCGGAGAGAGCTTGAAAGAGAGGAGGAACGCGTTGCAAGGGAAATCCAGGCCAAGGCTGCGAGGGGTCCCGAGGAGGATGGCAACGTCGCCCCAGCGACTCTGAGGGATGACGATAAGGAAAACGCGGAAGCTGGCTCTACCGATGCTGTCTCTTCTGGGAGGAAGCGTAAGAAGAGGTGGGATGTCGCGACCACGACAGCTGACGAGGAAGCTGCTCAGCCCTCTGAGCCCGCCAAATCGAAGCGCTCGCGTTGGGACCAGGCCCCCTCTCTGGAGCCCGCAGATGCACCAAAGAAACGGTCGAGGTGGGATCAGGCCCCTTCGGCCACTCCAATGGGTAACCAGGGTCTCGCCACGCCAATGCACCCGTCGCAGGCGGGAAGCGCAGCCTTGCCTACGACTTTCGGTACGGATATCTCAGGACGTAACGCGCCCATCAGTGATGAAGAGTTGGACGCGCTTCTCCCGGGCGAGGAACAGGGGTACAAAATCCTCGAGCCACCGCCAGGATACGCTCCCATTCGCGCGCCTGCTCATAAGCTCATGGCTACGCCAGCACCGCAGACTGGGTTCATGATGCAGGACCCTGACGCCGTTAGGTTGAGCGGAAAGCCTGTGCCGGCAGAAATCCCAGGCATTGGTGACCTGCAGTTTTTCAAAGCCGAGGATATGGCGTACTTCGGTAAGCTGACCGATGGCTCTGACGAGAACAGCTTGAGCGTGGACGAGATGAAGGAGAGGAAGATCATGAGGCTGCTCTTGAAAGTCAAGAATGGTACTCCACCAATGCGTAAAACTGCTCTGAGACAGCTCACCGACAATGCCAGGCAGTTTGGAGCCGGTCCGCTCTTCGACCAGATTCTTCCCCTGCTCATGGAGAAGACTTTGGAAGACCAGGAGCGTCATTTGCTCGTCAAGGTCATCGACCGTATTCTCTACAAGCTCGATGACTTGGTGCGGCCATATGTCCACAAGATCTTGGTCGTTATCGAGCCGCTGCTCATCGACCAAGACTACTACGCCAGAGTCGAAGGTCGTGAGATCATTTCCAACCTCAGTAAAGCGGCTGGTCTGGCCACCATGATCAGCACGATGAGACCAGACATCGACCATGTTGACGAGTATGTGCGGAACACCACTGCAAGAGCGTTCGCCGTTGTAGCGTCTGCCCTCGGTATTCCGGCTTTGCTGCCTTTCCTTCGGGCAGTGTGTCGCAGCAAGAAGTCATGGCAGGCCCGTCATACCGGTGTCAAAATTGTGCAGCAAATTCCTATCCTAATGGGTTGCGCCGTCCTTCCTCACCTCAAGGGCTTGGTCGACTGCATCGGCCCCAACCTAAATGATGAGCAAACCAAGGTCAGGACAGTCACCAGTTTGGCTATTGCCGCGCTTGCCGAAGCTTCAAACCCCTACGGTATTGAGAGCTTCGACGATATCCTCAACCCGCTGTGGACTGGAGCTCGCAAGCAAAGAGGCAAGGGCTTGGCTGGTTTCCTCAAGGCCGTCGGTTTCATCATTCCGCTCATGGACGAGGAATATGCCAACTACTATACCAGTCAGATTATGGAGATTCTCCTACGCGAGTTTTCCTCCCCAGATGAGGAGATGAAGAAGGTTGTCCTGAAGGTTGTGTCTCAGTGCGCTGGTACTGATGGTGTTACCGCAGGCTACCTCAAGGAGCATGTCCTGGACGAGTTCTTCAAGAGCTTCTGGGTGAGGAGAATGGCTTTGGACAAGCGCAACTACAGACAGGTTGTCGAGACAACCGTCGATATTGGCCAGAAGGTCGGCGTCAGCGAAATCCTGGAGCGAATTGTAGTGAACCTCAAGGACGAGAGCGAGGCCTACAGGAAAATGACTGTCGAGACAGTGGAGAAGATTGTCGCCAGTTTGGGCGCAGCAGACATCGGCGAGCGTCTTGAGGAGCGCTTGATCGATGGTATTCTACACTCGTTCCAGGAACAGAGCGTGGAAGACATTGTCATGCTCAATGGTTTCGGCTCTGTTGTCAACGCCCTTGGATCGCGCTGCAAGCCATACTTGCCACAGATCGTCAGTACAATCCTCTGGCGGCTGAACAATAAGTCAGCAACGGTACGACAGCAAGCAGCCGACCTCATCTCACGCATCGCCATGGTTATGAAGCAATGCGGAGAGGACGCCTTGATGGGCAAGCTGGGTATCGTCCTTTACGAATACCTGGGTGAGGAGTACCCCGAGGTCCTTGGCTCCATCCTGGGAGCTTTGAGATC